AAAAACCGGTTAACCGGTTTTTCTGAATTTGAAAAATATCAACCGGTTTTTTTTTCAAATGTCAACTATTCAAACTATTCGAAAACCGGTTTTTGGAAAATGTCGAATAATCGATCACCCTAGTAGATACTCTACAAGAAATTTTATATGATTTATATAAAAATAAAATTAAAATTTTTAAAATTCGAACGGAAGTAAGATGGACTCAGGAAATTTTTTTATATCATTATTCTTATTTTAGAACCAAAATGTTTCAAATAAAATATTGTCAAACTGTAACATATAGGCGTTAATTACAGTCTAAAATGATTAAAATCGGATAAATATGTTAAAATATGTTTATACAATATAATATTTAATCCTTTTTAGAAATACTCTTAAAAATATGAACTTTGAACCTCGATAAAATCAAAACCTTAACGAATTTTGAAATTTTGGAGAACTTTAAATTTTGTATGTATGAAAAGAATATATGTGCCGAATTTCAGCAAAGTCAGAGAGGGTCCTGCTCAAAATTTTTTGGTATTACATATCGTCACCTGAAATGTAAAAAGGCGTAACAGCACTTTTAAAAACTTTATTGGAGAGATAAAAAACTTAAAAAAATTAAAGCTATTTTTGTTATAAAAACTACATTTTCTTACAAATATTGTATCCTGTTCCTGTTCCTCCAGACATTGTCTATTATTTTGCTTTTTAGGACTTTCTTACTTGTGGAAATGACTAATTTGTTGTTACGCCGTTTTGAATTTAATTTCAATAAAGTCGGTATTTTTGACAATAGTGTTCTAAAAATTTGCAACAACATGTATTTTGATGCAGTGGACCATTTTCAATCAAAAAGACGATTTTAAATTTCAGGTGACGATATGAGAAAATTTTCATGAAAATAGCTAAGTTTAATATTACTATAAATTAACAATACGAGCTAACTTTTTAAAACCCTTTGGGGAATTGGGTCTATTAATTGTCTACTTTCATTTCCCGTTGGTATTGTTCGAGAATGATTCAAAGACCCAAAATTTATTGCACAGTATAATTGTAATTAGCAAAACATAAATTACAATTAAGAGTAATTGGCAAAGCTTCAATTACAATTACTTCAAATGTAATGGTAATCATTACACCCAAGCCTGATGGAAACTATACGTTGCACTATACATTCCGACCAAAACCCATATAACTTCTTTATTTCTTTATATAAATAGCTGAAATTTTCCACAAATATTTCTCTTAGGTAAGGTTTGGTACTGAAAAAAGGCAATATCGGTTGAATATTTCGAATAGCCCCATACAAATGATCGCCAGTAAATTCTTTAAATACAAACGTTAAATATGAAGCAATTTAAATTAAATTTAACACAAGTCAGTTTTATGCACCCTAAAATTTACGGTATAGGTTGGCGGACATCAGGTCATATTTAACCCTTGTCCCCATATAAGGTTCTTAAATGCTGATAATTGGGTTAAAAATACTAGTAAAGCAAATTTTCTGACAATCGGCCCATAATTGGGCCAGATAATTACTTTAATGCTCATGTCTGGCTTAAAAATATCTGTACCCCGTTTTTGTAACTTTTAGTGAGAAGTTCTCACATCGAGAAGTGTGAAACAAAAAATTCCATCGTTTCTCGATTTGTGAGTAAAAAGTGTTTCTGTAACTTAAAGTGAGAAGAGGCTACACGAATTACGTTTTTATTGGAAATTTCCAATAAAACAGCTGTCAAAAATATAAAAATTAAAAGAAGAAAACGAACAAATTTATAAACGAAGAATAAATAAACAAAAAATATAGAATAAAATGAAAATTGTTCGAAAAATTATCCCACTAAATTCGCCCTTGCCAAATTCCAAATTTACGCCCACGTACTTTTTTAGCATTTGCTTCTGTACATACGAAATTCCTCGTATTTTCTAAAAATTAGTGAACAATATTTATTTTAATCTTAATTAATTATAAATATAACATTACTTTTTCATTATTTCATAGAATTCATGTTTAAATTAATTTTTTTTAACTAAAATTTTACTTTCCACACCGTTTTAAAATGTGAGTTTTTTTGACAGTTCATGTGAGAAACTTCTCACAAAATTTTCTTACAGAAACACTTTTACTCACAAATTTCCAATAACTTACTTCAAAAAACATAAATGACAGATAGTTCTCACAAAATTTTCTTACAGAAACACTTGCATGTGAGAAATGATATTTTGTTTCAATTCACATTGTTTTTTCTTCAATTTCACTGTTTCATGCGAGAAACTTCTCGATGCGAGAGTTACAGAAACGAGGCACTGCATAGCAATGAAATTCGAAGCAAACAAGTTGTATAGAAACCTAAATATCACTACAAAATATTATGAGAATTAGCCCATAATTGACCCTACATACCTCCCATATTAGGTTCCCTAAAATAAAATTACTTTTACGCTCAATATTGGCATAAAAATATCTGTGTAATAATGAAGTTTGACACAAACATGTTTTGTAGGAACCTAAATATCAAAGTTTATGATAATTGGTCCATAATATCAATAATAATATGTATGTACAATTAACATAAACAAGTTTTATAGGCGGTAAAATCCTTCTGTCAAATTTTATGTAGTTCGGTCCAGTGTTAGTGTTTATAAAAAACCGACTTTGGAAAAACCGGTTTTCTGTTAACCGAAAATTGACCATTTCCAGAAAACCGGTTTGTCGATTAACCGAGTATAAAAAACCGCTTAACCGAAATGTTTGGAAATCTTAAAAATATTATAATATTTAGTTGAAAAATGTCATTTGAAATGAAATATTATGAATTACTTAATAAGACGTACATAATAAAACATAAGAAAACAAACTTTTTCAGATCTGAAGATATTATTGATTCGTTAGGTATGTGGAAGTTGTCATAGGAGGGATAAATTGAAATTGAAAGCTGCAGCGTGTACACAAGGTTTATATGGCCACAAAGACGGACATAGCTTCATCGAACCAGGATTTATGTTTATACAAAAGTCATTTGTACCGAATTTCATTGTGATACTAGTATTTATCAGTAAATTGTGAACATTAAAGTCATTTTCTGAAGAAGACTTTGTATGGGGGCTAGGGTCACATGAGGCCCGATCATTATGAAAATCGCAGTATCATTTAGACTTATGTAAAACTAAGTTTTGTCAATTTTCGGGTGGTTCGGTTGTATGGGGGCTAGGTGAAATAATGGACCGATTTCAACCATTAATAGACTCAGGAAGTTATTCTGAGCCGATTGGTATACTTTAAGGTGGGTGTAGGATCAATATTTTTGAGTGTTACAAACATCAGCACAAATGCAGAATACCCTCTCCACTATAGTGGTGTAGGGTATAAAAATGGTATGTCCAGGACTATCAAGTATAAATAGTTAATTTTTTATTGGTTTAAATGGCAACTTTTTACTAATTTCCTGATTGTCTGAAATTGTCAATCTCCATTTTATATACATATATATAATATACATTCATATGTTTAACTTTCCTAACTTTTGTTTAAAAACCTTAGGTCTGTTTTCATATACACAAACGGAAAATAATTTTTAGAATTATCTATCCAAAATTTTTTAAAATGCGAATCACAATAAAAAATCAAAGAAAACATACAATTTTGTACTTAAAATTAAATTTTTTTAAACCGGTTAACCGCGACTTAATAACCTGATAACCCGGTTAACCGAAAACCAATACTTTAAAAAAATCGGTTTGCGAAAAGCCAAAATATGCAATAAAAACCGGTTTTTCGGTTTACCGGCAACCAAACTTCAGTTGAGTTGCCAGCTGTCAACGCAACTGACATAAAACTTGGTAGCCAAAAAGTTATCGATATTGTTTCATCTGTGGTTATTTTAATACACTAGCAACTTAAAAATGTAAACAAACAATAAAAAATATGGATACAATTTTAAATAAAAGTTAAATTTGTGAAAAAATTATAAAATAAATTAAAAATTGAAGTTCTAAGGAATTTGTTTTTAAAAAGAGTTTTGAAAATCATGGCCATTGAATTTGAAAAGTTTACGGAAACATAAAAAAAAATTATACATACCCATTAAAAATGACACGGGCCCAATAAAAATGACACGGATCCATTGAATCAACATTATTTAAGAATAAAATATATATATATTTTTTTTTAAATTCCACACAATTGATTTAAAAACGTCTCAGCAACCACAAATTTCTAGTTGCCAATTTGACAACTAAAATTTGCAGCTTACCACAAAAACTACTTTTTTCTTGCAATTTAAAGAAATTGTCATTTCATTATACAATACACTTTAATGTTATTAATTGAGAAAATCATGTTAAGATTAGGATAAATGTAATGAAAATAGAGGACTTTGCAATCCGGGAAGCATGGAAATATTTAGCTAATTAAGAAATTTAAAGGTCTTCAACGCACGTTAGTTTCGTGTTAACAATTCAAGCTAAAATTTTCCATTAAAAAGTAAATACTAAAAATCGTAAGGGGTTTTTAATTTATATTATTTTTAGGGATATACCTACTGGGTATAGTTAATATATAATTAAGTTATGACCAATGTCTTTTAATTGAAACAAAGACAATTTTCGATTCACCGATGTCACGACGACATTTGTACTACTGGCGGAATAAAAATAATACATCGAATAGTTTCTAAAAGATTGACATGTTTTGTGACATTTTAATATTTTTAAATAACTTTCAAACAGATCGTCGGATATTGAAAAATAAAACCTGAATTATAAAGTATGTATTAATATGTTTCTCATCTGAACTTAGACTATATTTTTACTTATCAAATATACGTGAACTCTTGGGTTTTAGTTTTTACGTTTAGAACGAAAAATTTCTCGCTCACCGAAAATAATATAAATTTTTGAAAATAGACAAAACTATATGGAAGACATTATTATGACACATACATAAAAAAAAGAATTTTGAATTATCCCAATCATGTAGTAAATGAACGATATGATTGTGAAATATACATTACCACTTATGTTGTACCACAAATGATCACTGTCTTCATCTGTAGCCTGTATTAGTGTCACAAGAAATCCTGGTTTGTCACTTTCAGTTACTTCAACAACATTATTCTCAGTCTTAATTTTCGGTGGGAAGGATGATTCTTCTAATATCGGTATAACTACGACATTTAATCTTGCTGTTTGACTTTTTCTTGGTAATCCATAATCTTCCGCCTTAATAACCAACTCATATTCACCATCAGGATCCAATGGTTTGATGACATAAATTAAGCCGGTTTCAGGATTTATGCGGAATTTATTTTTTCCTTTGCCCGATTTTATGGAATAAGATATTTTTCCATTATCACCGATATCATTATCTGTTGCTTGAATCTTAAAATAAAAGAAAAATAATACAGTAATTTGAGCAATACGATTTTCTAAAGGTGTCTTAATATTTAAAATTGAACTCTAGGATATAAGTATTTTTTACATTTATTTTAAATTACCATTCATTATGCTCTCATCACAAAATTTTTCGTAATTCTTTATGTTCTTCTTCTACGGGAATGACATTCACACAGAACGTCGTGTAGGATTAAAAAACCGCAGTGACCGCAAAGTTTTTAATGCGGAAATTTGTACAATCCAAAAATTTTTCGTAATTCACTCTCTTATTCGTAATCAACCCCCCAATTACGAAACGAATTACATGATTCGCTTAGTACACGCAAAGAAAAAACATGGTTGCAGATTTTCATTGCGATCAAATTATTTTCGTAAATATCTCATATGACAATAAAGTCATTGCAATTTTAAACAAGTTATAAACAAACCTTAATTCATATTCCTTTCATTTGAGTAGTTAATTAAATGTACTTAAAAATTCATGTTTTCTTATTTGAATAAAAAAATTAAATGTGATTTTGAGTTAAATATACACTTTTACTGTGACGTCATTGTTAAAAAATAACCAATAAGTTCAAATATGTATTGTTATTTTCATATTTATACGAATCATTTAATTTTTGAAGGTACAACATCGTAGTTGAATGTGCCATTTATTCTCCCTAAAACGTCACAGAGCGTCATTTGATAATAAGAATTTGAAGCTTAAAGACGTATAAGAAACAAGCCAATGAAATTAAAATAAACAAGTGCTATATTCGGCTGAGCCGAATCTTAAATACCCTCCACCAGCTACTTTAATATTAATACTTTTCTAATTGATCAAATATTTGTAGAAATAAGTTTTCTCATGTCTTAAATAGAAAAAATCCCTTATTTAATTTTGTAATAAGTTACGAGTATTTATGTGATTTTCTGAAGGGAAACATGTATGGGACCGACCACACCCATGTTATGAGCCGAAATCTGAAAATAGAATCTGGAAATAGAATTTTTGTATACAAAACTAATATTTGTGCCAAATGTTGTATCAATAGCTTTATTTGGTAATGAGTAATGTGCGTTTAAGAGATTTTCTTAAAAGGACCTTGTATGTGAGCTATGACCAATTATGTATATAAAGACAAAATATCAAAATATCAAATATATATCAATATTTTGTTATGAGTTATGTGCGTTTAAGTGATTTTCGGGAGAGGACCTTGTATGGGAGCTATGACCAATTATGGACCGATCGGAAAAAAACTTCCATAATAATATTTCTGTATATGTGAGCAATACTTGTATCAAATTTTATATGGATATCTTAATTTAGTAATGAGTTATGTGCGTTTAAGTGATTTTCGGAAAGGGACCTTGTACGGGAGCTATGACCAATTATGGACCGATCGGAAAAAAAATTCCATAGTAATATTTCTATATGTGAGAGCAATGCTTGTACCAAACTTTATATGGATATTTTAATTTAGTTTAATTTTATTATTTGTGTGTTTAAGTCATTTTCGGGATTGGACCTTGTACGGAGCTATGACCAATTATGGACCGATCGGAAAAAAATTTCATAGTAATATTTATATATGTGAGAGCAAAACATTTGACAAACTTTATATGGATATTTTAATTTAGTAATGAGTTATGTGTGTTTAAGTGATTTTCGGGAGGGGACCTCATATGGGAGCTATGACCACTTATGGACCGATCGGAAAAAAATTTCATAGTAATATTTCTGTATGTGAGAGCAATACTTGTACCAAATTTTATATGGATATCTTGATTTTGTAATCAGTTATGTGCGTTTAAGTGATTTTCGGGAGGGGACCTTATATGGGAGCTATGACCAATTATGGACCGATCGGAAAAACATTTCATAGTAATATTTCTGTGCATATGAGTAATACTTATTCCAAACTTTATATGGATATCTTAATTTAGTAATGAGTTATGCGCGTTTAAGTGATTTTCGGGAAGGGTCCTTGTATGGGAGCTATGACCAATTATGGACCGATCGGAAAAAACTTTCACAGTAATATTTCTGTGCATATGTGCAATACTTATTCCAAATTTTATATGGATATCTTAATTTAGTAATGAGTTATGCGCGTTTAAGTGATTTTCGGGAGGGGACCTTGTATGGGAGCTATGTCCAATTATGGACCGATCCAGAAAATTTTTTCTCTCAATGAATTCTATTAACATAAGATTTTAATTTGTAAAATTTTGTGAAGATATCAACATTCTGACGGAAGTTATTAACAAAAAACTCATTTTCCGGTAATATGCACTTTTGTATGGGAGGTATATGAAATTATGGACCGATATTGGCAATTTTCAGCAGAAATAAATATCTTGTGAAGAAACGAATGTATGATGACTTTCATGAAATTATCTTGCATAGTTTTCGAGAAAATTACATCAGAATGTGTAAAAAATGCTTATTTTTTTCGAGGTTGTTTTAAATTTTGATTCATAACTTTTCCCAATGTGAACCGATTTTGCTCATTTTCAATGCCAAACTGTACCGGATAATAATGAATGTTTTGGGTGAATTTGGTTAATTTCATAAGGACACAGAATATATATACTTTGTTGGGTCTCAGATGAATATTTCTTGGTGTTACACACGGAATGACAAAGTTATATATACCGTCTACCACCACTGATGGTGGTGGAGGGTATAAAAACTCAAATTGAAACAAAAAATACATTTTCGATATTTTTTCAGTTTTACATAAAAACGCATAGAAAACACATAAGAAACACATAAATAATAAAAAATTTTGACACAAATGTAGGTAATACAGTTTTTTTAACTATTAACATTTAGTACACAGAAAAAAGTTTCAGCATAAATATTATGAACTGCTTTCATTGATAAAAATTAATAATATTTAAGAATAAGTTCCCAAATTGTATGCATTTTTTAATTTTTATTTTTTCAAACATAATCTAGAAGCCTTGACTTAAAATATTTCAAATATATTTTTATCTTCTATTTGTTAAAAATGATCAAAATTTTCCTAAGAAAATTTCTTTATGATTTTTAGATTAAAATCAATGAAGTCTGCGCGGGCGGGATTTTATGAAGAGTAGATATTTAACTATGTTTGCTGATGTTTTCTTGTTTAAGATTTTGTTTTTTAGCATTTCAATTTCTATTTTTTATTTACAAAATTAGCTAATAATGGATTACTATCTATTAAATATGGAAACAGATTAGATCATAGACTTTGTTAGCAATTTTTTCATGAATATTTCAGAAAAAAGTAAAAATTAAAAAAAAAAAAAAAAAATCGTCATGTACAAATTAATACATTCTTTAATATTTAGAATGAATGGTTTGGGAAAAAAAGTCATGATCGATTCATACAACTTATTACAAAATTCATTCCAGATATGTATGTATTATTATCTGTGTATTTGCTTTCTTTTGTACTTTATCAATTAATAAATTTTTATTTTTCTAACCCCCATTATCTCAATGTCTGGTTATATTTTATCGTAAGGTTAAATTGACAGTTTTCAGAATATCTGCCGGTTAAACGATAACCGGAGTTGGTGTTAACGGGGGTAACAGAAAAAATTAATACATAAATGGAATGAATTTTGTAATAAATTGTATGAATCGAACATGACATTTTACCAAAACATTTTCATTCAGAATATTAAAAGTTCGTAAAATATATGAACTTGTACATGACGGTAATTTTTTTAATTTATACTTTTTACAACGATATTCATGAAATAATTACATAAAAGTCCATTTTTTACTAATCTGTTTACATAGTAACAGAATAGTAATCCTATATTAGCGAATTTTGTATAATAAAAATAATAAAAAATAAAAAAAATTTCCAAAGAAAATTTCAAAAATTTTTTAACAAATAGAAAAATAAATTTGAAATATTTTAAGTCAAGGCTTCTAGATTATGTTTAAAAAAATAAAAATTAAAAAAATCATACCATTTAGGAACTTATTCTTAAATATTATTAACTTTTATCAATGAAAGCTTTTCTGTGAATAATCTATATATTCACTCATATTTCTTTTTATTTTTCGTTGCCTATTTACGTGTTTTTGTTTATAAAGTGTATGAAAATATTTTGAAAGTATAGTAACGCAGAATGAGTACCTAAAAATGTGAGCATAAAAATAAACGCTCTCAAAATAAAATAAAATCTATTTTTACAAGCGCATTCTACGACTTCAAAAAATGTCAATTTGTATGGAAAAAAAAACTATGCCCCAAATCTGTTTCATTATTAAATTATAAAAAGTGTTTATCTACATATGTATGTATATAAGGCTTCGTCTCAAAAAACAAAATGCTTCTCGATTTTGTGTTAATGCTTAATAATTTGTAACAATTGTTACTGGATTCCGTTCGCGCACTTTTGAAAACTTGCAACTCTATTTATCATAAATTTTTAAAAGTTTGTTGTGAAAAGTCATTACAAATATTGTCAATCTAGCGTTTTTAAAACAATTTAGCTTTTCTTTCTCTTGGCAATTTTATGTAAATTTTTATTTTAATAATATGTATGTTTGTAACATGAAGTTTTAAAACAATAATATATTTTTATACCCACCATCAAAAAAGATGGGGGTATATTGTTTTTGTCATTCCGTTTGTAACACATTGAAATATTCGTCTAAGACCCATAAAAGTATATATGTATTCTGGGTCCTTATTAGATTCTAAGACGATCTAGCCATGTCCGTCCGTCTGTCTGTCTGTTGAAAACACGATAGAGTCCAAACGGAAGTAGCTGGAGAGCTGAAATTTTGCATAGATACTTTTAGTTGATGCAGTTCGTTTGGTATTGAAACTGGGCTATATCGGTCCACGTTTTCGCCTAGCCCCCATATAAGGTCCCCTTTAGAAAATTACTTTAACGCTCATAACTGACTAAAAGAAGCACTTATAGCGATGAAATTCGACATAAACATATTTTATAGGAACCTTAAAATCTTTGTAGAATTTTAT